AACATGGTGTTTAATAAATTAAATAAGTGAGTTGTCATGGTTTTATTGGAGAAAAGCTGACAAATTCAGAAGTGGGATGAAATAACCCACACATAATCACAAGACATCCTGTCTTAAAGTCGATTTGGAGTATACGCAAAGAAAACTGCTAAAGTGAGTTTACTATGAACCAAGGTCAGTGACTTTTATTCCTCTTTAATAATTCGTAATAAATTTGTACGTGGACACATCCCGTGTCTGTGTTAATCTCATAAGTGGCAACCTGTTTTAACCTTCTGAGCTGCCACACATAGTGTATACAGTTTGACATAATACAGTACAGTGAATATGATTTAACTAAGTGAAAAAAAACTATTAGGCGTGATTGAAACAATTCGATTAGAATAAGAGAAATTTAATCCTTTTTACTAAGATTGCTTAAATATAATTTCACAGCTTGTTACCATAAAACCTATAAAGCGAAATTGCAATATCTTTGCTTGATAATATCTAAGGTATCATAAGATTATAATTATAACATTTGTAACTATAAATATTTCTCTTCCTTTAATTTGTTACCATTATTTTAGTAGACACAAGTGAAAAATATCCTTAATTTTTAACAATTAAATTTTTTGGGGTTTGTTGGTTGGTTATATAAACTTATATTATGGGGTCGCGACGTAAGCGATGTAATCATGCTCGTAAACGTTACGGAAGCTCGTCAACATCAATCAATTCTTATAGCTCTAGTACTCCTGATCGTCGTAATAAGCAGACGCCATGGTAGGCAAAAACATAAATGGTCCCCATCAACCCGTTGTCGACACCACGATCATCATAAATCTAGACATGGTAATGACCATCGATCTCGAGGTAGAAATCGTAAAAGAAGCGTTTCAATAAGAACGCCGGCGTTGCCCAGGGTTTGAACAGTGTCACCACAGATAAGGATTAACTTAAATAATATGCCTCATAACGTTACAAGTAGGAACCCTCAGTCCCTACCTTATGTTATGGAACCACCAGTTACTTCAGGTTTGAAAAGCAGCTCAATGGCTGTTCCTGTTACTCCTATTGGAGGATAAATGTGGTCTAATAATATAACGGCAAATTTTAATGTTATACCAGAATTTGATCCTTCTGTTGATAGCCAAAGTATTGAATGGTGAATTCAAAATGTGAGAGCGAAAAGTTCATATAAATATTCCTGAGGGATTTAATTTTTAAATTTAGAATATTAAAAGTAAAAGTTTGTCATAGTTATTTAACCAACCAGTGTTAGACTTAATAACTGTTTCTCAATAATAAATTTTTTCGGTCAATTTATCAATTTACCATTATACGCTCATTATATCATTAAAACATACTTAATATGCATTATATTTAATTTTTATTGAAATTCATCTATTTTAACTTTACATAGGTATTTTTTATTTCTCTTTACAAAAATCTATTATCTATTGTACAATAGCCAAACCAAAATTCGAATCTAATACATAACAAAGGAGACGGGCGAATTTGGGCCTAACATTACACAAGTGAAATATTTATCAATATTTTTTTAAAGTTTTTTTGTAGTTAATAATGATATATTAAGCAATTTTTTCATGGCAAAAGAAATTAAATATTTAATAAGAATAATACTGACTTCCGTTATTTTTATTTTTAACAATGCTGCCAGATGAAATAGGTTAGTTAATCGATTTTAATACAAAAATAGAAAAAAGACAATAAAAAGTGATTCAGTCTTTTCTTCTTTAGGTAAGTTTAAAAAACTTCTTATTTAAACAATGGTTCCCTTGTGACACCTTAATGTTTCAAAATAGTCGTAAAAATAAATTGACTGAATAAATTAATAAATTGATTTCACAATCGATTATCAATGTTTTATACAGGCCACAAAGCAGAAATGTCAATGTTATTTTAAAAACTAAAAACGTCACTCATTTGGTACTTTTGTTCACAGAGTACTTTTTTATATAGGGAACTTTTGTTTGGCTCTGAGCTTGCGGTGGTAGTGAATATTTCTGTTGTTTTTCTGTGCTGTAATAATATTCCCATCTTTAACGACTCTGGCTACGTATAAACAATTCTGACGGTTTCTTTTCTGATTTTAAAAGAATACATATGCAAAATGATAAATGATTTTCCCCAGCTCACACACAGTAATTTAATAAAAATATCTTTAGGTATTTATCAAATTAAGTGAGCTAGGTCCCATTATGGTGAACACATACAAGATGGGAGATATGAAATAGAAGTGTGTCTAGAAATGGACAGCAACCTACTAAGAGAATTGTCTTTATTCGACCTCTTAATAGCCACCTAGAATGGTACTATCCAACCATTCTAGCTAAGTATTGAGAGATCGAATAAAATCGAGACATATACTTAAGCTCAAAAACATATTTTACATATATTTTAGTTGACAGTCCTCTTAATGGTAGAGAGATCATCAAACAGTATTATTTCAATTCTTTGGTAGGAAAAAGAACTGTAGGTTGCTGTTGTCATGTAATGTCCATGATATGGTACCTAAACTGGGCAAGGCGTCAAGAGAATTTAATACCGCCTGCAACGTTTTTAGATGATATTTTATTTGATTCTGATGAAGTGAACGATTAATAAATCATTAAAAGAGAAAATGTTTTCAATTCATCCTCTTTCTGCTTTTTTATAATTATTTCAAACTTCTAGAATTTATTTGGATGGCGGCGTCTGAATCTTCTATTTGTGAATATCCTACAATACATAAAATTATGGTGAAGTCTAGTTTACAATAAAGTCTAATAATTACATTTTAGTTTTTTTTAAAATGGTATTGATATATAAATAAAATAATACAGTAATCGTTGCAGTAACATCAGGCCCAGCTTTCTATGAACTTTTGCCCATCTCCTTTCATCAGGTGTCGGTGTACCTCTGTTTTGTTTGTTCAGAAACTCTTGTATCTCATGACTATGATGAGGAAACATGTAGTTTTAAATTATTAATAATATTTGACTTCTTCGTATTATACTGGACTCTTTAAATGTACTTAAAAATGCTAATATGTTTTCTATTATTAAATAAAAAAAATCATGACTTCGGTTAATTGATAATCGGTTAGGCTTTTTCGAAATGTATATAATATGCTTTGTCATACTACAATTCACTGGAAAACACCTATTTATAATAAAAAGTTATTTTGAACGAAGACCTAATTAAAATATAACGTCCTATATTTAAAAGTTGTAAATATTTTACACTGTATTAATATTTTTCGATTTATTTTATTGTCATTAACTCTTAATGTTTGATAACTCATTTTAGTGGGTAAAATCCTGTTGAAGAGACCTGCAAGTTTTGTACATATCTATTAGGATAAGTTATTTTGTATGCAAAACGTAACGCAAAATATTGTGCACTTTTTGAAGCGAGCATGTTGTTGATATTAAGAATAATTTTACATTAAAAATGGCAAGCCTTATAGAGTTGTCGAAAGAATGATACCGTAACATTACTCTGGGTGGTTCGTATGTCTGTAAGATGACAAATACTAAAAATGAAATTGACAATAACTGTCCTTTTGGGTTTGAAAAGACATACGAACATATCAAAAGGATTTACTGGTTCAAAAATATGAGAAAGTCCACTAAAAAAATATTGCAAGGCCGGACCAACGGAAGGAATGCTTCATCCTATTGAAAAGGTAAGCAAACCATTTGACACCATACATGTGGATCATTGCGGGCTATTCCTGTTAAGTAAAAAGAGGAATCGATATATATTGGCAATTATTGATTCTTTTACAAAATATACGTATCTTAAAGCTGTCCATGATTGTAGAAGTAAAACGAGTATCCAAATTGTTGAAGAATACTTTGCATTATTCGGGCTGCCGCGGCGGTTAATTACAGATCGCGGTACCAGCTTCACTAGTAATGAATTTAGCAAATATGTAATGGAAAAAGGTACGCCATCAAAAACATAACTTATAAAAAAACCAAGTCTCGCAACTCAGTTCTTCTATGGTAAAAAGTTGTGAGATCCATATAATACTAAGTCGGTTAATTTATTCAGTCCCTACTTAAGGTTCCTTCTGTCTTAAGTTATTACGTAATTAGCTGACATAACAACATCTTATTGTGACCATATCAATATTAAAAATCTTTTATGTTTTAAATAAATAGATTGACTTGGGCCATCGCATGAAAACACAATGTATCTCACAAGTAATACATATTATATTAAATTCAATTGCTTTATTTACAACATAAAATATTTTTAATATTGATATTGAGATATCAGTGTGGACCGTTCTGTGTAATGGCATTCATTAGATATAAGAAAGTGAGCCGTTACTAAATTGTATCGGTGTGGACCGTTCTGCGCAACGGCACTTCTTAGAGTTAAAGAGTGAGCTAGTACCTAATGGTATCAGTGTGGACTATTCTGTGTAACGGCATTCATTAGATATAAGAAAGTGAGCCGTTACTAAATTGTATCGGTGTGGACCGTTCTGCGCAACGGCACTTCTTAGAGTTAAAGAGTGAGCTGGTACTGAATGGTATCAGTGAGGACCACTCTATGCAATGGCATTCATATTTAGTCAGTATTAAGTGGAAAAAAAATTAGTAATTAGAGTTAGTTAAGAGTACACTCCCTAGTCATTTCATTGTTTAGTACTGTACTAGGGGTATGTTCCAACATATTCGATACAACAAATCACCAGTATGACATCGATTTATGATGACCAGTAAACTGGGTTCTATTTCGGAACATACCCATGGGCTTATTTGCCTTCACTGCTATCATTCTGAGCTCACAACATAAATCGCTATCTATAATTCTTATAAGTTTATGGTTTTCCATCAATTAGATTTAGAACATGAGATTAATTTCCACACTAACTACAATATTATATATTGTAAATGATATATCTGTTACTATGCTTATATAAATAATCGTTCATAAATTCATTGGGGAAACGTTCCTTGCTTTCATAAATTCAAAAAATGTGTGGGTAAATCACTCACCAACAACTTTACTTCGACAATAGCATTCGGTTTGTTAACGACCACATGAGCGTTTGTCAAGACCAGCCCATCTTCTTTCACAATGAAACCTGAGCCATTGGACAGCGTAATCGGCTTTCCAGTAAACAAATCAAGTCTTCTGCCATCTTTGATTTCTATATACACAACAGACGGAGCTGAAACAGCTACGACATCCGCTATAAAGTTATATTTTTCCCTTCTATCTTTTAAACTATCATTTATAATCGTTGCAGCAGATAATTTCTCTTTAAAACTCACATAACCTATTACACCAGCAGCAACCGCTAACATGCCCTTTAAGATATAATTACCGTCCTTCTTTCTATCATATTGAGAAAATGTTGTAAGAGCACGATAGGAACATCTATAATTTGCATTTAGTATAGATTTATTATTGAAAAATCTCACTACAGGCCGAAACAATGACATTTTTAAGAATGACAGATGACAGTCATAGATAAATAAATATGAAGTTTATGAAGCAATTACTTTTATTATTTAACTGACTTACGGCTCTGGATTCTAGCTCTTCTGAGCCTAGTATTTATTTACTTATATTCAACCGTAGACAGAGATACCTATAGACTAATGATTAGCGTAGCCTCGAGTGAGAAGGGACGATAACGTAGTTTTAGGTTATACAATAATCTTTATGACTTTTAAACATATTTAGTTAAATTTTTTAATTGTTCTAAGAACTGAACTGAACAAGATTCACCAATCTCAAGCTCACAAAACACTTTTTTTCTCACTTAAATAAACTTGTAAAGTCCTTAGATCGCTACAAACTGTCAAAGTTTCAAAAAACTACACTTTGCTAAACAAAAAAAGGGAAGAAAGGAAAGGGACAAACAATCAAACCGCTCTGACTCATTTCTATGCAAGACGTATGCATAAATCTATCTTTTTCGTGTGCGAATGCGAAAGAAGGCGTCAATTTGTCTATAGGATTTTTTGTCTACGTATCCAACTTATATCTAACATTACAGGTTTCTACCCAATGCGATTGATAAAGCACTATTTACAATCCTATATTACCTTATAGATAATATTCCATGAAGTAAGTTTTGTGAATTAGTTCAGAGTACAAAAGAATAAATCTGTTTCTCTGTCGATCAGGTTTAATGTTCGAAACGTTCGCGTCAGGGGTACCCGTAAGCACCATAATAGTCTGTGGTATTAATATAGTCGCGGCTTGCGTCTTTCAACGTAGCGTACAACGGATTTACAGTTATTTTGTCCTGGATACTTCGATACCACTTGCCTTCATTTTCTTAGTCTTTCTTCCGAATATTTTTTCAGAATCAAAGGATAATAGTTCTTACTTCAGTATAACAATCGGTAAAATGTGAAGGTAAAGTACGGCTTACATTAAGCATCGATATAAATGATGGTCGTGCGAACAAAAATGTCTCACGGTTCAAGCATAGAATAAATCAGCGGACGGAACTAGTGTTACCATTTATGATTTTGGTTTTACCCTGGAACTTGCAGAAATACTCTCTAAATTATCTAACCTATTTACATACCTGCTATACACATAGCGTATATAGACATGCGCTATACAATTAGCAGGGATGGGAGATATGATAAGGATATAGAACGACGAGTGAATGCGGGAAATAGAGTAAATGGGGCCTTGCACTCTATTGTGAAGAGTCAAAATGTGTCAAAAAAGGCACGTATGGCAATTCATAATGCTGTGTTGGTCCCTACTTTAACGTATGGTAGTGAAAGTTAGGTGTGGCAGAAGAAGCACGAGAGTAGAATCAACGCAGTAGAAATGCGGTCCTTAAGGAGTATGTTAGGGTTGAATCTGAACGACAGGGTAAGAAATTGTGTAATAAGAGAAGAGTGTGGTTTGCAAGACGATGTTGTGACCAGGATTAAGAAAGGAATGCTTCGGTGGTTTGGTCATGCGGAAAGAATGAGTGAGGAAAGAGTGACAAAGAAAATTTATGTTGCAGAAGTGAATGGCAGAGTCGGAAAGGGACGTCCTAGGCGAAAATTTATCGACCAAATTGGCGATTTATTGAAAACAGGCCAAATTAGGAGTACCCTTAACCGACGAGCATGTATGCGTAGGTGTATGGATGTGAAGGAGGCGAGAGAGTTGTGTCAGGATCGTGCCAAATGGAAGTCTGTAGTCTCTGCCTACCCCTCTGGGTGACAGGCGTGAGTGTTTATGCTATACAACCTGGATCAAAATTACTTCTTACAATAGCTTTAAACATAAAATAGATGTGTCAGAGGATCAGCACCTCATATTATGACACCAGCAAAAAATTTAATTTTGTTCAAGTCTTTTAATGATTTTTGTAAAATGTTGGTAACATTGGGCTTAAAAGATAGCTCTTTATTTATAACAACACCTAGAAATTTATGTTCGAAGGAAAATCGGAAAAAGGAAAATCAAATCTTTAGTAAATATCATACAACTACTTTTTTGTGGATTAAGTTTTAGTTTAAAGTTATCATAATATTTTCCTTAATTACAAAGAGGTAAATTGATAATTTATATCAATTGCAGAATCTACAATATAATTAACAACTGTAAAAAAACTAAGTCATCAGCAATTTATAGGATATATTTTACATTAATTACAAATTTAAGATGTGTAAAAGTTGTATAGCAGTGCCTTTTGACTCAGTTCTAGTTCCATAAAGAGTACTGTTAAATTTAACATATAGGGTTCTGTTAGTAAGAAAATTATAAATCCATTTGCATCGTAAACCTGGAATGCCTAATTTAGATAAAACTTGTACTGAAATTCCTGGTTGGACATTATCGAATGCCCCCTGGAACATCAAGAAAAGCAGAAGCTACACTTTGACCATTTTATTTGATATATTTCAGATCTTCAGAAACTTGAAGTTATCTGCGCAGCTCCTGCATCGTGTGAACTCATATTGAATATTTGAAATAATGTTATTGGATTCGACAAAAAGAGCAGTTTCATCATAACCTCAAAAAATTTTCTTAAACAAGAAAATAAAGAAATAGGGCGATAAGAGTTACAACTTATCAAGAGTTAATGGACTGGAATGATTTATTGAGTTTTTCATGCTTGAGGAATTATTTGATTAAACCTAAGATTATTGAGAATCGTTAAAGTCAATTTTTTTAGCCCTAGAATTTTGATACGTAAAAGAGATGCGATTATGTGCGCACGGTAAAGTGATGCGAATATCTGCGCATCTGAAATAAGTATTAGAGAAAAAGATGTAATAAGTGCATCGATGTTGATATAAACCTCAATTAATTTGATCGCTACCCCTAAGATACCGTGGACATGTTGACAGGTCCAAGTTTTGTGACCGCTAAGTACAGAGGACATGTATACATGTCCGCATTACGTGCTGCTATTTTCGTCATTAATTGATATAAAAATACAGTATATTTTCGATTGAACACTATTTCATTTGATTTTGAACGAACTAAAGAATATTCTGTAGCATTATATTCACTTGGTTACATAGACATCATCAAATATAACAGCCATTCGCTTTTGCGTGCCGGTGCGGTTGTTTGAGTAATCGTTGAAGTTTTGTGATTGTGATTTTAGTTGGATTTTCTTTCAAAAAAACTGTAAGTAATGTTATTTATCTTTACTACGTAATGTTTTTGAATGATTTAAGTTACAACAACAGAAACTTTTTATGTTTCAATTGATAAAAATGTAGAAATAAAAAACCTCTACGCGAACAATTCGTAACGGTCAAGATTTCTAATAAGATTCTAATAAGATAATAATAGTATATTTCTTATTGGAATACCATAGTAAATACTTTTACTAGTAATTGCTAAATGTTATATCTATATGATTGTATAAGAAAAATAAAGGAAGACGATATAAAATATATACACAAAAAGGTTTTGAAAATGAGTTTAGTAAGCGCGCGCAAACTGTCTATTGTCGAATTTTCAGCAAATGTTTGCAAGTGAAAAAGTAGAATTATTATAAATATTACATGCATAATTTCGGTTCATTTAGGAAGAATATGTTGTATTGATTGTAAGGACATAAAAATAAAATAAAATCTTACGATATTTCATTCATAAAATAAAATGTATCGTCAGTAAGTACACTTTATCAAGATCCGTTAGAAACAAAGAGCTGTTCAAAATAAAATAAACATTTATATGTTATGGTTATTGTTTCTACTTATCGAAAATCTTATCGGCTTTAAATAACTGTAACTAAAACCTCTTTAAACATAAATGAAAGGTCGTGAGAAACATAAATATTTAAAACAAGTGCCGCCAGCTGAGGTGACGACGGACGCCTCGGTACAAAGCTGTTTTTTGTTATGGTGGGCGCAGTGAGTGATAGGTTAAGTGCCTTATGAACTTGAGAGACTGTCAAGGACTATCCGCTGGGCTTGAACTGTTGTTATAATCTCCGAAAAACTTTGCAATTTGACGCAGCAGCATATTGTGAAGAAGTAATCTATAAAAACAAAGATCCCATATGAAATGAAGAAATGACTTAAAAGACAAATATCCAAGCAAAATCTAAATTAATAAGAAATAAAACATTTAGTCTCGTAGACAGAGAAACCTATAGACAAACTGACGCCTTCTTTCGTATTCACACACGAAAAAGAAAGATTTATGCGTACGTCTTGCATAGAAATGAGACAGAGCGGTGTGATTGTTTGTCTCTTTCTCCGTGCCGGGTTTTTTGTTTAGCAAACTACACTTTGTTAAACAACTTTGACAGTTCGTAGCGATCTAAGGAGTTTACAAGTTGGTTTAAGTGAGAAAAAAGTGTTTTGTGAGCTTAAGATTGGTGAATCTTGTACAGTTCAGTTCTTAGAACAATTAAAATTTTTATCTAATTATGATTAAAAGTCATAAAGATTATTGTATAACCTAAAACTACGTTATCGTCCTTTTTCATTCGAGGCCACGCTAATCATTAGTCTATAGGCTTTTCTGTCTACGTTTTGTCTACTATATGGAGTGTAGAAGTAAGGAGTATCAACTCCCATAGTAGAATAGTTGAAAAAGTGGCCATCTGTAAAATAATAGTTTAAAAACTCTCCACAACAGCGCTGGAGTAGCTACTAGGATGGAATGAACTTAGCAGTTATCGACGGTTTAAGTGTGCTGCTAAACTGCTTAGTAGCTCTAATATCTAAAATAATTTTATTTAGTAAATATAACCTCGAAAAAGTCGTCTATCCAAATAATATTTTTCGGTGCGTTCTCTAAAATTTACCCCGTAGTTATAGTGGCGCCACCCTTATTTAACGGTTATCTATGGACACTTTTTAATACACAGTCTGTATTCCTTACTTCTACATTCCATAGTCTACTGTTTATAATTTGTGATTTTGACATTGCCATTATAATACAATGTGGTCAGCTGTCAACTGTCGTCAGCGATGTCAAAACCAAGTCAAAACAAAAGTTTTTTTATTCATTCGGCGACGCCGTTGCGTTCGTGGCGCGTGTATGTTAGAATATCGAAATTATCTTATCAGAATTTTACCGACTTGTGTATATTTTTATCAGAGTGCATACCGCCCACGCTTTTCCGTTTGTAAACAAAACTGAAAATGAGCGGCACCATGTATTTTGGAGGCGTAGAAGGGTAAGTTATTCTTCAATAATATCTATTGCACGTGTATTTAGTTCCTTGCATTGTTGAAAGTAGAAAGGCTTGCCTTGGACATGCCTAAATATTACGAAACAGTGGTTTAGCGGATATTATTTTAAATTGCGTTTTTATTGATATATTTTTTTCATCATTACGATTGAGATTGAGAGAGAGATTGATTACTGAAAATTTAGATCTCAAAAATAATCATTCGTTTTATTATTCATATTGCTATTCCCGCCAATCAGAAGAAAGAATTGTGAGGTGTGTTAACACACTAGCAATTGAATTTAATTTTAAAATGCACTTTGAATTGATCAATATAAAATAAAATTCGGAATGTTAAGAATTTGCATTGACTATCGACCTTCAAGGTTTATACATTTACTTTTATGAATGACATTATTATTAAATCTTGCGTGCAAACAATGAAGTGTTTGTTTTTAAATAGAAATGTGCCTACTGCAAATTAATTCCTGAACAAAAAAAGTTTTGTTATAGGGTTATATTATGTAAGATAAGACTATCTATTTGTGACGGCTCCGTGGCGTAGTGGATTTGCAATGAGTTGCAGCGCTAGAGCCGCGTGTTCGAATCCCGCACGGAACAAGTATTTGTATGGCCTACAAATAATTGTTCCTCTTCTGGATGTTTGTCCTTGTGCAATTTTATGTTTGTAAACTGCTTCTATGATATAGGATAAAATCCTAGTGTGGGGATGACATTTTTTTAAAAATAAATAAATATTTTTACCTATAGCATGGGCCGCCGGTGGACCGGAGAGTGGCCCGTGTTGCTACACCTCTGTGTATTTATAAAATTAAATGACATACAAATATTCCCTTAAATATTGAAAAAACATTTCGGATTAAAAAAAGAATTCATTTATTTTACACTAATTTGCGCACAAACGTTTACATTCCACACGCTAATTTGCAGTTCGCGCTAAAGAAATAAAGTCAAAAAATCTAAGAAGCTTGACTTAGTCCTAATCCTAGACACAGTTTTATCTAACGAGGAAGGAAATTAGCTAGTGAAATGGGTCATTGAATCTAGTAGAAAATATTTTTCACGGCGCAATAAGATGTCATAAAAAGTGTCAATGGTGTGGGGTTTTGGATTAAAAACAACATCTATGAGGTGGGTCACGGCTAAAGGAAGTCTTGCATCATTGTTCTTTAAAGAAGACGGTAAAAAGACATCACCAATGACTATTTCCGCCCTATAGAAAATGCGAAATACAGAATGTTAATTTATTATTATTAATCATTCAATATTAATTACAATGATAATTTAAATAATTGTAATAGTATGTATATACTTAACATGAAAAAAGTAAAAAAAAATTGTCAAATATAAAAGGCCTAATCGAAGATAACAAAAGCCGGCCAGGCTGGACACTGTCTAATTTGGCCAGACATGCAACCAAAAAGTCTAATTAGAAAAAGGCGGCATTTACCGCCTTTTATACCCGACAGCCACAGAAAGGGGGTTAATGTTCAAGAATATGTATATATGTATTAGTTAAAAGCCGAAGTGCGGATACGTCCAGGTTTAGCCGGCTACTACTAAGTGCAGCCGATTGTAGTAAACCTATTAAGAAACCGTGCTTAATAGGTTTACTTACTTATTCAGTGAATGTACTGTTAAAATGTTAAATTTTTAAAATTTATTGACGTGGTAGAGCCACACTGCAGCTTTATTATTGTTGGAGCACGAATGGGTCGGCTCGACCGGGGAAGGACCACGCTCTCACAGAATACCAGGGTAAAATAACAGCTTAATACTGCTGTTTCGTATGGTGAGTGTAGAGATCCGGAGCCCCTTTTTTACTGGAAACGAGGCATTCCATCTTAGTCCTCAGGGGTGACAACGCATCTGCGTTTTGATTCTTAATCGAGGATAAATGTAGATGTCTATGGGCCACAGCATCCACTTACCGTCAGGTGGACTGTGTTCTCGTTTATAACCCATATTCTATAAAAAAACATATACGGAACTTTAAAACTAGGTGAGGCACATCATTTTACTTTATTATACGGATCTTAGCTAATAAATGTTTAAGCGTCTTTAATATAACGGATTTCCGCAAAGTAACTCCTGATTCTATTAATTAGTTGCGAAAATATCAAAATAATATTATCTGCATAACACATTATAGACGGATAGTTAACACAGAAAATACATACGAATTTGTAAATTCCTTCCTTAAAATGCATAATATATTACTATTTCTTCGATTTCTAGAAACGCATTCGTATTAAGAAATCATCATCGCCCGGTGTGTTGACCCGACCCCCGAGAGTATTTTGTTTGCTAATCACGTATGCCGGTTGCCGCTACTAGTTTGAATCACCAAGGTAGTTTAACCGACTTCGATAAAGGATGAGGTCTCAATTCGTTTGGATTTTTTACGTGGTAGAGCCTATGCTCCAGTTATATTAGTAGTATAGTTGTAGCACGAATGGGTCGGCTCGACCGGGGAAGGATCACGCTCTCACAGAATACCAGCGTGAAATAGCAGCTTAATGCTGCTGTATTTCGTATGGTGAGTGTAGAGAACCGGAGACCCTTTTTACTGGAAACGAGGCATTCCATCTCAGCCCTCACGGGTGACAACGCATCTGCATTTTGATTTTTAATGGAGGATAGATGTAGATGTCTATGGGCCGCAGCAACCACTTACCATCAGGTGGACTGTGTGCTCGTTTGTCACCCTATTCTATAAAAAAAAAAAAAATGTGTTTTTGTACGTCATTACGCGATATTTTCGTCATTTGTGAAACGATTTTGATGATGATTTGATAGGATATAGTTCACGGGTGATCCCGTATGAATTTTGAGAAAAATATCACCCTTAAGGACGCGTTTGCAAATCAACCAAAATTAGGGTGTTTTTCGGTAGATTTTGTGACAAAACTAAACCAAATCAAATATAAGTAAAAACTACCATGTATAGATTGGTTCTTCATCTGCAAAAGTCTGTAACTCTTTTGTTGAAAATAGTAGTTTTTTATATTGTAAAAACGAACTTTCGTTGCCATTTTCTACAAAATTAACGATACCGGCTTGTGTTTCGGTACATGTTTTGGTCTATTATCAACATATTTAAAAAAATTAAAAAATACTGTAAGATGACAGACATATTCAATTAAAAAACCCTGTATTTATTTTTTATCAAAATGTCACAAATAGTCGTAGAAAAAATAAAAACTGACGCACATTTTTTCACATATTTTGCTAATACGGATAAATCATAATGTATTGCAATAAGGGCTATTTTATTTTTGGTGCCTGCTTTGATTTATTGTACAAAGATTTCGATGAAACCACAGTCCGCGCTCGGCCGCCGTCGTGAGTGGATACTGTATCGCCTGTTTGTAGCGGCTCATTCTGAAAAGATCGCTGTACATACACAAAATATTAGAAAAAAACAAATTGGAAACATAAGTACTTGACAAGTGATAAAATTATTATTTTTATACTCACAGTTTTTATTTAGCTAAAAATAAGTAGGATATATAAACTTACCTACTACTGCAACTCCTGGACGAGCGGAACTAGGTGTGCCGAGTTTGGGCTCGTTTTGTTGGTTATGATGAGATCTTACCTCCGGACTTGATGGCGTGACCTGGAGGTGTACTTTCGTGACCGCTATTTGAACTTCTTGCAGAGTAAAACTAGGGGTGGCGAATTTGGGCTCCGTTTTGTTAGTTATGACGAGTCCATACCTCCGGACTTGATGGAGTGACCTGAAGGTGTAAATCGGCGATTGCAACTGGAACTCCTAGACTGGTAGAACTAGGTGTGCCGAGTTTGGGTTCGTTTTGTTGGTTATGATGAGACCTTACCACCGGACTTGATGGAGTGACCTGAAGGTGTAGTTCGGTGATTACAAGTGGAACTCCTAGACTTGTAGGACTAGGTGTGCCGAGTTTGGGTTCGTTTTGTTAGTTATGATGAGACCTTACCACCAGACTTGATGGAGTGACCTGAAGGGGTAATTCAGAAACTACTGCTGGAATTTCTGAACGAGTAGAACTAGGTGTGCCGAATTTGGGCTTCGTTTTGTTAGTTATGATGAGTTCATACCTCCGGACTTGATGGAGTGACCTGAAGGTGTAAATCGGTGATTGCAACTGGAACTCCTAGACTGGTAGAACTAGGTGTGCCGAGTTTGGGTTCGTTTTTGTAGGTTATGATGAGACCTTACCACCGGACTTGATGGAGTGACCTGAAGGTGTAGGTCAGTGATTACAATTGGAACTCCTAGACTTGTAGAACTAGGTGTGCCGAGTTTGGGTTCGTTTTATTAGTTACGATGAGACCTTACCACCGGACTTGATTGAGTGAAATTCTGCACACCTAGTTCTACTGGTTCAGAAATTCCAGCAGTAGTTACTGAATTACCCCTTCAGGTCACTCCATCAAGTCTGGTGGTAAGGTCTCATCATAACTAACAAAACGAACCCAAACTCGGCACACCTAGTTCTACAAGTCTAGGAGTTCCACTTGTAATCACCGAACTACACCTTCAGGTCACTCCATCAAGTCCGGTGGTAAGGTCTCATCATAACCTACAAAACGAACCCATACACGGAACACCTAGTTCTACAAGTCTAGGAGTTCCAGTTGCAATCACCGATTTATACCTTCAGGTCACTCCATCAAGTCCGGAGGTATAGACTCGTCATAACTAACAAAACGAAGCTCAAATTCGGCACACCTGGTTCTACTCGTTCAGAAATTCCAGCAGTAGTTACTGATTTACCCCTTCAGGTCACTCCATCAAGTCTGGTGGTAAGGTCTCATCGTAACTAACAAAACGAACCCAAACTCGGCACACCTAGTCCTACAAGTCTAGGAGTTTCACTTGTAATCACCGAACTACACCTTCAGGTCACTCCATCAAGTCCGGTGGTAAGGTCTCATCATAACCTACAAAACGAACCCAAACTCGGCACACCTAGTTCTACCAGTCTAAGAGTTCCAGT